TTCCCTTTCCCCCACCCACGAAGCTAACCCCCCTCCCTTTCCCCAACCACGAAGCCAACCCCCACTCCCTTTCCCCCACCCACCGAAGCCAACCACCACCAAATTCAGCCCCCCTCCCCGTTACCTCCAGCAGCCACCAATTCGCACCCACCCGCAACACCAGCTCCGCCACCAATTTCGCTGTCCCTCCTCAATTCGCAGCCACCATTTCGCAGAAGCCTGCAACACCACCACAACCACCAAATTCGCAAACCCCCAATTCACAAACCCTAACCCACCAAATTCGCAAACCCTTAATTCACAAACCCTCAATTCATTTGGGTGGCTTCAGGTTTAGGGTTAGGGGTGGTTTCGGGTTTAGGGTTCGATTCCGGTGGGGTAACGGGGAGGGGGGACTGATTTCGGTGGGGGACGGCTTCGTGGGTGGTGGGGTTGGCTTCGTGGGTGAGGGATAGGGAGGGGGGTTGGCTTAGTGGGTGGGGAAAAGGGAGGGGGTGAGGTCCACTACTAGAAAAAGGTCTAACTCCGACGGAACGGTTGCGACGGACATGAAAATCCGTCGGAAAACACTTAATTTCCGACGGATTTATTTTCCGTAGGAAATTTGCGACGAATTTGGAATTTCCGTCGAAAATCCGTCGTAAAGTAAGTGTTTTCCGACGGATTTTATTCCGTAGGAAGTTTCCGACGGAATATTTGGTCGGAAATTAAAGTTTCCGACGGAATTATATTCCGTCGAAAAATTTCCGACGGAATATTATAAGTTTCCGACGGAAATTAATTTTTTTTTTTTTAAAAAAAAAAAACAAACCCCCCAAACCCTAATTAAAAACGGCGCCCCTCCCACCATATATATTCAAACTTCTCATTCTCTCTCCTCTCTTCTCACTCCGCCTCTCTTCTATCTCTCTCTCCTCTCCTCTCCTCTCCTCACTTCTCAGTTCTCTGAGTTTCTATCTCTCTGAGTTCCAATCTTCTCTGAGTTTCTATCTCTCTCTCCTCTCCTCTTCCTCACTTCTCAGTTCTCCGGTCTCCTCTCTCCCTTTTTTCTTTTATTTTTTTTATTTTCTCCTCATCTTCTTTCCTTCTCCTCTTTCTCAATTCTCACCGGCGCCGCGCCTTAGTTATCTTGCTATTTCATATTAGTGGTTTATACGGCCAAATTCGACCTTGAAACCTCTAGATCTAGAGGTTTTAGGGTCGAATTTAGCCGTATTTAACCAAATTCGGGTTGAAATTGGAAGCTTCGGTTGGTAAGGTATGTATTCTGGTTTTAATTTTTTTTTTGTTTTTTGTTTTTTGGTTGTTGGTTGAAATTCGTGGTTTTTTTTTTTTGTTTTTTGGTTGAAATTCGTGGTTTTTGGCGGTGGTGGTGGTTTTTTATGGTGGTGGTACGGCCGGATTTGTTGTAGATCTGGGTTTGTTTTGGTGTTAGATATTGATTTTGGTGGGTTAGGGTGGTGGAAATGGTCGTTTAGGATTAGGGGGTGGGTCTGGTTTGGGTTAGGGTGAGTGGTGGTGCGGTTAGGGTAAGGCTGGGGAAGAGGGTTTGGGAAGATCTGGGTAAGGGTGCGGTGGCGGTGGTTGGTGAATCTGGGTTAGGGTGCGGTGGTGGTGATTGGTGAATCTGGGTTAGGGTGCGGTGGTGGTGGTTGGTGAATCTGGGTTAGGGTTTGATGATGATAAGTGGGTGATTTGGGTGGGTCTGGGTTAGGGTTTGGTGGTGGTGGTGGATGGATCTTGGTTAGTTTAGGGAGTGGCGGTTTGGGCTTAGGGTTGGTGGTGTTCTGAGGTGGTGATGCGCCGCGCCCCTGGTGGCGTGGCGTGTTTTTTTTAATTTCTTAAAATCAGTTTCCGACAGATTTGTGTTCGTCGGAATTTTTTGACGGACTTTTCTAGTGCCCAAAAATGCATTCCGACGAAAGGATTCCGTCGGAATTTTCGTCGGAAAAGTGTTTCCGACGGAAAAGGCTGATTTTCCTACAAAGGGTTCTCCGACGACAGTTTCCGACGGAATTCCGTTGGAAACAGGTTTTCCGACGGAAAACAACGTGTTTTCGAGGGATTTTTTTCGTCGGAAAACAACAGTTTTCTAGTTGTGGTCGCCGCCGGCCGAATCTTTTGGCGCCGGCCGCCGGCAGGGGGGAGGGTGGCAGACTGGCAGTTGAGGGTATGGGGGTCGGTGGCAGTGGGGTGGCTGGGTTGTTTTTCCTTTTTTTTAAATTTTAATTTTTTTTTAATAAACTTAAGAAACTTAACGGAAATCCTTACGGATTCCGTTAAGTGGTAGTGATATCTAACAAACTCTAATTTAGCAATAGCAAAGTAAAAAAAAAAAAAAATTAAAACGGTAGCAAATCTAAAGCTAGGTGTTTTAGGTGGTAGCAAATGTGAAAAAATCCTTATTGTAACAACTTTTTGACCGATTGACTCATTTATGACACTCACATTATCCATACAACCTTTTCATTTATTGTCACACATTATGCACAAACATAATTAATTAACAATTCCAGCGCGCATAACTCATACTTGTTTATATTTCTAACACATTACTCCAGATGGTTAACAAGTTGGTAACACGTTGATTTAATACTATTTTTGCTTATTTACTTTTTCACACTTGTTTCGTAGCAACTTTTTTAGTGGCTGACTCATTCATGACACTTACATTGTCCATACAATATTTTAATTTGATGCCACACGAGTGTTGTGCACATACACAACTAATTTACAATTAGACTAGCCCAACCCTTAAGTGTTTATAGTTATATCACAATACTGAAGAGGGTCAACAAGTCAACACATGTATTTTAAATGATTTCTTGTCTATTTATTTCTTCATTAATGATTTTATACGATAATAAATGTAGTAATTGTTTGACCGATTGACTTATTTATGACATTCACATTACCCTTACAATCTTTTTCATTTATTGTAACTAGTATTGTGCACATACATAATTAACTAACAATTATCCTAGCCTAACCCACATTTGTTTAAATTTCTAGCATATTACTCAAGATGGTCAACATACAAGGCAACATGTTGATTTTAAACTATTTGTTTGTTTGTTTGTTTTTTTTTTAGCTTATCCAGCACTCCCAGACGTTCGTTAGCAAGGCCGGCCCTTAGGGTGTGCGGCCTGCACAACCGCACAGGGCCCAACATTGTTTGGGCCTCAAATTCTTACAATATATACAAAATGGTTGTAACAAATGTATAGTGAAATTGTTGTGGCTTAGTGGTAATACTGGTAAATGTGGAGGAATTGATTCCTGTAAGTGCAAGGTTCAAATCATGCTATGCACTTTTTTTTTTCTTTCCAGTTTTTATTTTTTTAATTTTTTGTTATCTTTTCTTTATTGTAATTTTAATTTTATTATTTAAAGGTTTGGATATTCTTTCTATTTTCAAATACTCCGTTAATCCGTTTGTGCTTTACTTTTCATTTTGGTCTTTTTTTTTTTTTTAAATTCCATTCCTATATTTTGGAAGATTTTTTTTTTTGAAATAAAATTGATTCATAAAAAAAGTCATACGACATCTACAAAGAGATTTAGATCTAATGAATACATTATAATTGAATCAAATAAAAACATTCCATAAGCAAAGCTACGATCGTTGTTGCAAATCGTACATTCTTCATACCCTCTTTCATATCGCTGTGATTTACAGCCTTCATTGGCGAGGGGATCTATCGATCTGTTGTAGCCCTGCAGAAAATTTCCGTCTGATTCGCTAGATTGTAATCGACATATTAACCTCTTTTTCGATCTCGCACAAAATTTTACCCATGAAACAACTCTATAGCAATCCATAAAATAAAAAAGCAAATCCTCCCTCAAAAGAGAGAAGAAAAACCCGGTCTTTCGAAGGAGCCAAATCTTCCTAAAGAAGAAAAAAAAAACCCTGTCTTTCGAGGGATAAATATTCCTCCTAGAAGAGGAAGAATTATTATTATAAACCTAAAACAATAGAAAAAGCACACAAAAACAAACAATTGGGGTTTTCCACCGATAAAAATCGATGGAAGCCCCTCCAAAATTCAACAATGGAGACTAGGGTTTGAGAGAGAAAAGAGAGGAAAGAGAGGCTAGGGTTTTTTGACAGTGACCTCTATATTTTGGAAGATTGTAACAATATTTTATACTTTTATCCCAACTAATGGTCCCTTGACTCAATTTCATTTTTAGAAAATATTACCATTCTCTTTCCTCTTTACAATAACTCATAAAAACTTTTATAACTTGTGTGTTTTTTTTTTTTTTTTTTTTTTTTTCTTTTCAACATATTTCGATCGCTTATACATTTATTTCTTTGTTCTAAACCTCTGCAACAAATCATAGCAGAGCATTTATTGTTTCTTAAAAAAAAAAAAAAAGGGTTCTAATGTATCTCATTCGCACAGGGCCTCCATAAAAGTTGGGACAGCCCTGTTCGTTAGCTTTTGCCTTTTAAAAAAAAAATTTACCTCTTCATAATTGATTTCATACCATCATTGTGTTTTCTAAACAACCTTTTTCATTAATTGTCACGCAAGTATCGCCCACATACAGAACTAATTCACAATTAGCCCAATTTATTTATAACTGTGAAGTTCTATTACAGTACTCTAGAGGATCGACAAAAAACACATTGACTTTATACCGCATTAGGTACCATAACTATGTTAGCAACTTATTATCTAGCTTGTTCATTCATGTTGTACACTTGCATTGTCCATACAACCTTTTTAATCAATTGATATACAACTCGTATTATCCACATTCACAATACTACCCTCGTTTGTATAAACAAATACTACGCAGTCGAAGAAAATTCAATGTAATACTTTAGTAGTAACAACTAAATTACACAAATTATTGTATAGTCGTAATTAATATATATATTATCTATATTATATAATTTACAGTGCCTCACAATAAAATAGTGTAAGGCAGTGTCATACAAAACTCAGTCTCAAGGAGCTTCAACTATAAGTTTATGGGGTGGAGGAGAAAGCAACACCACATAACTTTAAGCTCAGAAAAACATTGGTATCTTACAAATTACAACCTTCATATATACTAAATACTACATATGACTCGAGTTTTCATACAAATGGATGCAACCACATCAATCTTAAATTGCAGAAGTGAAATATTTTTACATTCCACCCTAATGAAAGAAACAAACAAACAATAGAAGTAACCAAATTTTACACAACTAGGTGCTTCTTATACTGATTTTTTTTTTTTTTAGTGTTTAGAGAGCCACAAGGGCGGGGGTGAGAATCGATTCTAGGATCTCCTGAAACCGGGAAGGAAGCTCTAAACACTTGAGTTATCCCTCACTTTCTTCTTATACTAAAGAACTTGTAGCAATATGGTGGTTGGATGTACTGCACGATGCATGGCTAGGTCAATCTCATGACAACTTAACTTCCTTTTTGCAGAGCGGGCAAATCTGAATGAAAAATAAAACGTTTGCATCACGTCATCAACACAAAAGCATGCTCGACTAAAAAAGATAGGAATCAAACTATTTACAAACACATGCATTCTAAATTTGCAAGCAAGCATTCCAAATTTGCAAGTTATGAATTAGGAGCTCCCACGTTATATTAAAGGTAAGCAACTTAATGATCATAATGAAATCCCATTACACCATCAAGTATAATCCCACAATTGCAAGCAAACATTCCAAGTTGAGATCAATTAAAAACACTAAGGGAATGTTATAAAGTTAAGCAACTTAATTAGCAATATAACCACTCTGTATCCCATTAGGCCACTACACCTTTTGTATTTTGGGGTTAAGGGATGGAGAAAGGGCTGGCCGGCTGGGTTGGTGGATGGGGACACAAACAATTAGAATTAGCCTGTTTGACCAATTTAATCCAGCCTGCTACGCCTCTATTACCAAGGAAGATATGAAAAATTGTACAATTTGCTCTGACAGTAGCTTGTGTAATGCCAACAGCCAGGAAATCTTAGAATCTGATCCACAGAGTTAGCAAAAAATGTCAGATAACACAAATTGAACAACCCTCAAATGGATGTCATTAGTCTTTTTCCAATCTCAACAGTACTTGAGCTAAGCTTTCAAAGTGACAAGGGACAAACTGAAATAAGCAGAAACACATGCAATCGCAAGGCAAAATTCTTTCAATGTTGATCGGTGATGACGCTAAAGTAGCTGGCAAAGATGTATCTACTATACCATTAATACTTAGATATCAGAGATGAGACCCCCCAAAAAAATTTCAAATTGTTCAGAAATGAAAGAGGAATATTAGATTAGGGCTGATTCTATTTGTCAATCAACATTAAGCGTTTGCACAACCTTTCACCACGTACAAGTCACCAAGACCATGATTAAATGCGAAGCAACAGTCAAGTAAAATTAACACATCGAATAATATAGAGGAAAATAAAATACTACATAGATAAGTAGCTTACCCTTTTCTTCACTAGCCAAGGCTCTATACAATCTTTATGATATTGATGTAAACATGGCAGACTGATAATAGAATCCCTGTTTTTATATGTTGTAAAACAGATCACGCAGCTGAAAAATGCATTGCACCATCAGTAAAGTTGATCAGTATCACAAAAACAACACTCTTAAGACAACCCAAAAAGGTATCAATCATATAATCATATTTTAACATTGGAAGTTCAAAAGTTAAAAAAGCAGGCAAAATTTTCATTGGTATGAAATGTTAATTTACAAAAACCAGAATGGACTAATAGATTTCACAAACAGAAGCTCAAAATTAAGGGGACATTACTTTGTTATTGTTTTAAGTTCATCCATTGTTGGAAATATAGCTTCGCTTGGATGACCACAAAAAAACCTCCAAACAAGTGTCTACCAGTTCCTCATTTCTTTCAGGAGGGGAGGGGGTAGACATAGGAGGAAGTGAACTTACTCTCCAATATCGATCTTCTTTGAGAAAATCCCAGATTTGTGTGTGTGACGTGGCAAACTGGATATCTCACTCTTAGATAATCCTTGGTTCTCACTACCAATTGCTTCCCCCAAGGACTGCAGCTCCTGAAATAGGAAAAAAAAAATCTATAAAATTACAATAAATGATACTACGTAAATAAATAAACATTTGAAGACTTAAATGTGAGTATCTGAACTCTTTACACTTTTACAGTCAGAGTTGCATGATCCCTTTCTCAGGTGACCATGAAGCTCCAAAATGTAATACAGCAATAACCAAACCCTACTACTAAATGGGCAGAAAACCTACTTTGAAGAATAGGTTAATGAAACAAATGGCAGCTTGTGCAGATTTTGCAACAAACCTACAAGCGGCCTCAATGCCTCATACAAACATTTCCAACCAGAAAGAGAGATAACTTGAGTTAATTAACATGAAAAAGTAGATAAAATGCCCAACTTACCTCATAAGTCATTTCATCTGGATCAACGGAATCCTGAATTGTCTCCTGCAAGCATGAAAGTGACAGAATTGCCTTTTCAGACAAAAAGTAATACGAAGTAGATTAATATTGCTGTGAAAGATCCTAATCGAATTACCGAGACAGATGTGCCAGCAGCAGCAGCAGGTTCAGAGTTCCCTATATATACGATAAAAAGAATTATTGTTTATACAATACCATGATTCCACATAATGTATATTACAGTAACTTTCTAATATTCAGTTAGACATCAGACCATCAAACTTCTTTTCAAGTATGGTTGGGGAACAGGAGTACAGACGTGAGCCATAGAAGACTAGAAGTTATGCTGGTGACGGAAACAGAGGCAATTTTATGAAAAGTGGAAGGTAAAGAAAAGATAAATGCACAGTGACTAGTCAAGAAACTAGAACATATCCGTCACATTGACCATATCCACAAACATGTATAGGCCCTCTACTGTTCATTTCTTCCTAATACTAAGAGCCATAATGGGCTTGGAAATACCTCTAAGAAGTCGACATAAAAGAACTAATGAATATGACACAAAATAAAGCAAAGAACCAGAAGGAAGAAGCTTTCATAGACGAAATTACATTTGAGCAAAAGCACATTTTAAGCTTAAATTGTCTTAGAACTAAGACCATAACATAATGAATGAAAACAAAACATATATGATAAGACTCGAGCAAAGAATCAAGCTCGCATGAGTCACATCAGATGTTAATATATTATACATGCTAAGAGGAGTAAAAATTGTTGTGTGTAAGACTTAAACCGATCCTGGACTAACAAATTCCTCAGTATATTTTGTAAGAAAAAAAAAAGTCCGAGTCATTAAGAGACACTGGCAGCAAAGTCCATACGAGAAGATGGAGTATGAGACCTAACTGGATGCCACAAGAACTACAGAGGTTTACTGTTTCTGTGCATAAAAGTTATAGTCACGTGTATCCGTTCACAACCTCACATGCTTTTGCAAGTTTAAGGAACAATTATTTGAGTATGATCATAAAAACATAAATAACGTCACAAAGTCAATTACCAATGCAGCGAATGAGAATCAATAAATAATTTAAATGGTACTCTAGAGATAAGGAAAACGGAGATTTGAAGCAATAAATCTCAGAAAGGAGTAGAACAACAGCTCAGAGGTCGTGAGAGAATGAGAGACACAGGCATACATAACAGCTTCTAAGATGGACGAAAGACCTAATAAGTTATAATCCCACAATAAAATAATTCCCATTTCAGGAATCTAAGTGCCAATCCACCAACCTGGCGCAGCATGTGAGCATAGGATGAGTATTAACATATTTCCTTGTCCAATTCTAGAAACAACCAGGCTAGAATTAATACTCAACAATAATTCGGCAAGAATGATCACAGAAAAATATACATCAAGCTAATATAACAATGAAAAAGTATCAACTTCTTCCGATTTCAGGAATGTTAGGCCAACCTGCTACAGCCCGTGAATACAGAATGAGTATTAGCAGAAGAAAGATGCATTTCCTACATCAACCTTTATAAAAAAAAAAAAAAAAAACAAAAAAAAAAACAAAAAAAAATTTATACCCCCCACAGCACTTCAGAAACAATTAGTCAGTAGGAAAAAAAAAAAAGGTAAAGTTCGACCAACAATCAAAGAAGTGTGGACAGTAAAATTCAGGCTTTACTAAACTACTAAAGTAAGGAAAGAAATTGCGTTCCAAAAACTTCAGCATTCATTATAAAATTAGTCTGTACTACTTACTAGAAGCACTACGCAGTGATTCTGAAATGGCATCATGATCAATTTCTTCTTCTAAATCTAACTCTTGCAAAGATCTAGCCACAGCTTCATCCAATGCCAAATCATAGTCACAACTTCCTGAAAATGATGATTCTCCCCATGAATGCTCATGGCTACTGCTTGGTTCATTGTCAGAAGATCTAGCTATTTGGTCTATAGTTAGACAGCTAATCTTTAGGGACTGGTAAAGACTTTCCTGAGATGTAAATTAAAAATTAAAAAAAAGTCAACACCAAGGGTCAGCTAAGTTCTAATTTCAAACACAGCACATCAAACTTACATATATAAAATTTTGTAGAAACATGGAAAGGACAATCCTCTAAGAGATATACCTGATGCTGAAGAGCCTCTTCAATAGTAAGACCAGGAAACAGTTCTTCCAGATTTTCTTTAAGCTCAGGTAGGACATGATGTTCCTCCCACGGCTGGCTACCCATAGCTGTTTGATAATTTCTCTATTGAAATCACCTCAGTCCTCTAAACTGAATCAGGAGTTCAGGACAAGAACCTTTAACAGAGGCAGAGCCGCAGAAGAATGTGTATCAGCACCTCAAATCAAAAGGTGCCTTGACAAATTCTCTTTTGATCAACTGTTTGAATCACCACTTAAACAGTTCTCTAAACCAAATGTGCCTTTAAAGCTGAAGCCAATTCCTTTTGATCAGCTTTTAAACACCTCAATTCTCTAAACTAGACCAGTACGAATACCATCAACAACAGAAAATATAGCTACAAGAAAGAAGAGATAATCAGGACCTGTGGTCATCATTGTTAACTCTTCTATTGAGAATATTATAGCAGCGTTCAAAAGTTTACAAAAAAGGACGGTATTTACAGAATATGCACCAATACAAGTAATGAAATGCAGAAAACTGTAGTACTAGAATCAATTAAGATCATCGATATGATGAACATACTAATCTCAATCTTAAATGAAAAGGGTGTTTCCATTAAAAAGGATAAACGAATGCATATTACATAGATTAGCAAATACTTCATATGAAAGATAAGTAAAGACCTTAATGATGGATCCCCATAAACCCGTTATAAGACTCTCCCTTCTTCAATATTAGCCAGAACCTCAGAAAACATATGATGACATCAATCAGGAAGATTAATGAAAAAGTGAAAAAGAAGAGGGAAGAACCTAATTAAAAGCTCAGTGTATTTATAGCCTTTTTGGTCATTATTAATTAGAATTTCTTCTCTAACTAAGCCACATCGACCAAGAATTCCGACCAATTTTCCAAATTACTACATGCCTCACCTCACATTGACAAAGACAGCATAAAGAATTTCATTGTAGATATTTCCATGCCTAAGAACACGGGAACGCGGATAGAAAGTGCAATATAAATATTTTCAATTATCTTGAAAACAACCTAGATACAATCTTGATCATACAATATCTCCAAAATTCAAGAACAAGCTTTTTAGCATCAAACAAATGGAAATTCCAAGGAAAATCTATGTAAATATTACTAGAATATATGTCAGTCAACTAAGAAACAAACAACAAATTACTATTACAACCTTAAAACAGTACTATGTACTAGAAACTAAATAATCAAACAATAGGCCAGCTCTCAAGTACAATTTCCTCCCACAAGTACCGTCTTTTCTTAGAAACTTATAATTGCATAAAATTAGTAATTTAGACATGTATTCCTCTGACTTTGTCAATTTTTTTGATAAAATTAATAATATCAACAGAAAATGACAATTACCCAGCAACATTAACCTACTTACGCAACAAAATTACAACATAATCAACTCAAAAACATTAAAGAAAACAAACAATTTGCTAACAAAACCCATTAAATTTCCTATAATATAAACAATGTGAAGTAATTACAAGAATAAAAATGGAATCTTTCAGATCCTAACTAGTAATTAAACTGTGCAAATATATAATTTGAGAGAGATGATGAAATATACCTGATGATTTTTTAGTGAGATTTGCAAGAAAAAATAAAATTGGGAAGATGGGGTTGTTGATATCTAGACCACAAAATCAGTAGATTACAACAAATAATTGAGATATTCCAAATAATGGGGTTTTCTGATGATTTGGGGTTTTCCAATTTTTAACAGTTTCTCTCTCTCACTTTCACAGAGTAAGAGATGAACTGAAAGTCAAAATATTAGGAATTATATTTTGGCTAAATAAAGAGAAAGCTGTTTGGTAAAAATTAGAAATTTCGACGCAGGACAATGCCATAGAGGGGGATCCACAGTTGTGACGCAGGAAAAAGCCATACAGGGTCTTGCAAGACATTGCGTGGGGCCGAAACCGGTATCGTATATTGCCACTATGAATATGGTACAATCGGATGTACTCCGTATTTATTAATTTGGATCTTGTATATAACATTTTCGTCAAATTTTATAGTATATAAGTATATTAAAGTACTCATTTTGTTCCCGTCAAAAAAAAAAAAAAAAAAGTACTCATTTTGTTTCTTAAAATTTTCCTATTCCTTTAAAAATTTAGAAGATTATCCAACTTGTGGATATGTTAACTTTGTTACTGTTATTTTTAAAGTTTTATTGATACTCCATAGGTTTTAGATAAGTAATTTAAATTCTATTGAGTACTTGTAATTAAGAATTTAGACAAGGATCCGATAAAAGATTATCTTTTGCATAATCTTGGGTTTTCAACACGGTAACTTTTTAAATCAACTCTTGGGTTTTCAAACAATTTATTCATGATCAAGGTGTGTCGAAGGTGTGTCAAGGTTACAAAGACTTTTGGTTCATCATTTATACTTCATATATATCTTTAACTATCTAATAGATCAATTAAGACATAATTACTTCACTCAAGTATATTTGTAATAACTTTTGGTTCATCATTTGTATTTCAACTAGCCTTTTGACCCGTTCGATGCACGGGTTGTTACTTAGGTTATTTTTCTTGAAAAGTGTTAGTGTTGTTGTGGAATTTTATTAGATATATATACATAGATATTGTAGGGCATGAAATGACACATTGGTTTAAGTTATATTTAAGTTTAGGAGATGAAAAGACTAATTTATTGTTAATGTAACGAACACAAATTAGTTTAACTTTAAGTTATCATATTGAATATGAAACACTTAATTTTCTTACTTAAATTTGTAAGTTTTAGAATGCATAAAGATTAAAAGACTCAAACATTATTTATATATTTTTTTTTTATATTAAAATGAAAATTTAAAAAGAAAGGATTAAGAGAGGTGACATGTGGCTTGGTATAGATTTGTGGTTTGTGTTTTTAAATACTAAGTATAGATATAGATATAGATTCGTATATCCTTAACTATCTAATACTCTAATTGATCATTAAAGAGACATAGTGTCACGGTCCGAGTGGTTTGACACCGGATCGTGCGGCGCGCTCTTATCTTTTAGAAACAAGAACGCAAGCCTAGAGTGAGAGAGGTTCGTGGGCACACAGCAACACGGACCAAAGGTATCTCAATGAGGCAATCGTTAGTAACGAGTGCAGGGTCGGGGCTTGTGACGGTCGATACTTCGAATCGGGCACAAGCGGAACCGACAAGGATGTAGGCGTCTTTGAGAGTCTCTTGGTTTGGTGGGGAGCTTTAAAACAAGGCAAGCACAATATCTATAAAGGCTTAAATCAACACACAAGTCTTAAAGCAAGGCAACCCGAATAGGAGCTTTTTCATTCATTCAACCATCGCTCCATATAGAGCTTTATATTGCTTACATGGAGAAATACTAGTGAACACTGAAATGACAGTAACACAATAATCTCCTCTAGCGCCTAAACTACTTACACGAATACATTGAAAGTTTAACATAAGCTAAATAAAGACATAAGAAAGCAAAATACATGATGAAAGAGGTTGGAAACATCCTCCCCCACTTAAGCTGTCGACGTCCTCGTCGACTTACAAAATATGACTAAGGAGACTAAAGTTCTTGATCCTTAGGTCTCTGCTGAAGAGGTGTTGCGCTGTCTGCTCCTGATGCTGGCTCGGTTGCTGATGTTGCGGCTTGAGTCTTCTTGATCTGGGTGGTAGGGCTTGAGGCGGCTGACGTGAAAGACTGGGTGTATCTTCATCCATGCTGGAGGTTCGACCTTGTACGCATTCTTCCCTATCCGTTTTATGATGCGGATGGGGCCTTCGTATTTTCTGATCAATCTTCGATCTCTTCCTCTCAAAAACTTCAATTGTTCGGGTAACACTTTCACCATCACCATATCCCCAACATCAAACTCCAACGGTCTTCTGTTTTGATCAGCCCACTTCTTCATTCTCCTAGTTGCTCGCTCCAAGTAGGCCCGAGAAATCTCTGTGTTTTGCTCCCACTCCCTTTTGAATTCTCGAGCTTGAGTACTTCGTCCGGCCTCGGTGTCTGCTACTGTGTGAGGCAAGAGAGGTTGTTGGCCCATGGTCAGCTCGAAAGGGCTCTTGTTTGATGAGGAGCTCCTTTGGGCGTTGAAACAAAGCTGAGCTATATCGAGGAGTCTCACCCAATCCTTCTGATTGGCACTGACGAAGTGGCGCAAATATTCTTCAAGTAACCCATTGAATCTCTCCGTCTGCCCATCTGATTGTGGATGATGACTTGATGACATATTGAGTTCTGAACCCATCATCCGAAACAACTCTAACCAGAATATGCTTGTGAATCTCGTGTCTCTGTCGCTCACTATACTCTTGGGGAGTCCCCAATACTTCACAACGTGCTTGAAAAATAATGAGGCAATTTCTTCAGCACCACATGCCTTTTGCATTGGAACGAAGGTAGCATATTTTGAGAATCTATCTACAACCACCATTACTGCGGAGAGCTGGTCCACCTTTGGGAGGCCACTGATGAAGTCCATGGATACACTCTCCCAAGGGCGAGTAGGGATTGGTAACGGTTCAAGGAGCCCACCGGATTTCTGTCGGTCGACCTTGTCTTGTTGACACACCAGACAAGTTCTTGTGTAGTTCATCACTTCCTCTTTCATCCCCGGCCAATATTATCCTGTGCTCAGTAAGCTGAGTGTCCTTTGCCGACCCGGATGACCTGCCCATAGCGTGTCGTGGCATTCCCTCAAGAGCATCTTTCTCAAACCACCTTCTCTAGGGATGAAGAGTTTCTTTCCTTTAGTGTAGACGAGTCCGTCTTCCATCCAGAAACGTCTAGTTTTCCCTTCTTCAATCAGTTTCCTGATGGTTCCTGTCATCGGATCATCTCCTAAGTAAGCTTTGACTTGATCACGCACAGAGGTAGCGACATTGCTTGAACTTAAAGGGGATAATCTTTGTAGGGGTGCCAGGTCTGCTCGCCTGCTCAGCGCATCTGCTACACTGTTGCTAGCCCCTGTCCTGTATGCAAACTCTACATCGAACTCAGCTAAGGATTCTTGCCATCGATCCTGTCTTAACGTCAACTTAGGCTGAGAGAGAAAGTGGGTTGCAGCAGTATTGTCGGTGCGGACGATGAACTTCGAGCCCAACAAGTAATGTCTCCAGCCCCTAAGGCAGTGCACAATAGCTAGGAGTTCCTTTTCTTGTGCTGCGTACTTCCTTTCCGTACTGTTCAACTTCCGACTCTCGAATGCGATGGGATGGCCATCTTGGAGTAGTACTCCTCCCAAGGCAAAATCGGAAGCGTCTGTCTCTACTTCAAAGGGTTTGTTGGGGTTAGGGAGAGCGAGGACTGGCTCTCTCACTACTGAATCTTTCAATTTCTGAAAAGCTTTTTGCTGTTTCTCTGACCATTCCCAACGACGATCCTTCTGCAAGAGGTCGGTGAGGGGACTGGCTAACTCGGAGTATCCCTTGATAAATCTGCGGTAATAATTTGCCAAGCCTAGAAAGGACCGAAGCTCGGAAGTGTTCCTTGGATCTTTCCAATCCTGAATTGCTTGTATCTTCTTTGGATCCATCCTTATGCGGCCTTTACCTACAAAGTGTCCCAAGAACCCAACTTCTTCTTGGGCGAAAGCACATTTTTCTCGCTTGACGAACAGATGATGTTTTCGCAGCTTCTCAAACACCTTTCTCAAGTGGTCGAGGTGTTCTTCAAAGGTCTTGCTATAAATTACAATGTCATCCAGGTACACCACTACAAATTTGTCGAGAAATTCATGGAACACTTGATTCATCAAGGTGCAGAAGGTTGCGGGGGCATTGGTCAACCCAAACGGCATAACTAGCCACTCAAATGCTCCATATCTCGTCACACATGCGGTCTTCGGTTCATCTCCTTGAGCAATGCGAACTTGGTGGTAGCCAGATTTCAGATCCAACTTCGTGAAGAACACTGCATCCCCTGGTTGATCGAACAAGTCCGCCACCAACGGAATGGGGTAATGATTCCGCACTGTGACCTTGTTGAGGGCTCGGTAGTCTATGCACAATCGGAGGCTCCCATCTTGTTTCTTCTGGAAGAGCACGGGAGCTCCATAAGGAGCTTTCGAGGGGCGGATGAATCCTGACTCTAGTAAGTCTTCCAGTTGCTTTCTAAGTTCCGTTAGCTCAGGAGGGGCCATACGGTAAGGGCCTCGAGCAGGGGGCCTCGAACCAGGAACAAGTTCAATCTCGTGATCCACAGCCCTCCTAGGAGGAAGCACCTTTGGGAGCTCTTTGGGGAGGAGGTCCTCAAATTCCGTGAGAAGCTTATCTAAAACTGCGGGGATTTCATGAGGGGCTACATCTTCTTTCACTGATAGAGTAGCAAGGAATGTGGGTTCGTTCCTTTTCAACCCCCTTTTTAGTTGCATTGCCGAAAGGAGGGGGCCTTTAGACCCTTTTCTC